GGCCTAGACTTTACAACAAAATTTGTCTGGGTCATACATGAACTAACTCTGGTATGATTCCAATTAATTTCCAATATTTATAGCTCTGTAATTCCTGTAAACCGGAAGAAATATATCTGTGATTCGCACACCAAACCTTGCGATCGCGAAGCTCGCACACGCAGGTCTCACTCTTCCGGCAACAAACAGATATGACCTACGTTGACCTAAATGTTGACCAATCATAATCAAGAAAAGTTTGAAAACCGCAGTACGTACCGTGTAAAAGTCTACTTTCAAATAGTGCTGAACTTTTGGTTATAAAAAACACCTTTATGTACGTCCTATTTTGGTTAACTTTTAGTATGTTGTTTTACATATAATTAAGTTTATATTTAGATCATAAAACGTTTTGTTGCAATTTTGTCCAGTCAAATCCGTATTTCCGGTGGACTACAACTTTATGTGTGTCCTTCGTCGGCATTCAATAGTTATAACATATCCAACGTTATTTTAAAGTCTATTAGGTCAATTACAGTGGCGTAACGATAAGGTAGTGGGCCCTGTGTATTTCTGAAACTGGGGGCCTTTCTGTGTCCCGGTCACCAATTCCATCGTAGGATTTTAGATGTGCATTGTTATTCTAAATGTTTTAATGACGAATAAATGATATAATATGGATCCAGAAAATTGAGGCCTGGGAGGGACTTTCACAGTTGAGTCTATACCACCTCAGACCTACCATGGTTGGGGCTGAGGTTAGAAAACATTTTTGTTTATATGGAACCATTAAATGGCCAGAAATGGCACTTCACAGACATTTGTGAATATATATATATTTTTTTTAAATCTCCAGTTAAAAAATATTTTGACAAATTTAGTGGGGCCCCGAGCCAGCAGCTCCCCTAACCCCCCCTCACTTTCATTCCGCCACTGGATATAATATGATATGTCCTACAGTCGATTTCAGACACACATTATGCTGATGCCCTTGTGGGGCCAAGATAAGAAAATGTATTATTATGGCCGGAAATGGCACTCACAGACTTAAAATTGTGAATATAGTTTTATTTTTATCGTTATAATATGATATATGCCCTACCGTCGATTTCAGAGACACATTATGGTGTAATTTATCAACAAAGTCATTTTTGGTCAAGGTGCTAGATCAAGGAACCTATGGGTAGGGCCTCTTCGCGGCCCCTAAAATTCAGGGGCCCTGCGGACTGCCGCATGAGAGCGTATTGGCGTACGCCACTGGTCAATTAACTTGCAAACATCTTTTAGGTAGCCTGTACTTACCACAATAATAATTTGACATCACTGTCACTTGTGAAACACAAGCATAATCACTCTTTGTGTATTACAAATGCAACCACAAAATTCCTTTACTCGACTTTGTAAGCTTGACTAGATAATTGCCTTACATTATGAGACATCAGTGAATTATGTGCCGGCCAACCATTGTTTGTCAATGGTCTTAAATTGCAGGCGATTGATGCAGTGATGCACAGTCTGTTTACTCTGCAGTAATAGTTTTTTGGTTACAATAGTAGCTTTTTTTATCACTTTTTATCATTTTTTAAGCTCATTGCGACGTTGGTATAATGCGCTATATCAAATCCCACTACATTATATTAATTTATGTATGCTATTGTATTCATTAAGAGATTCAAGGATATTATAAATAATATCATAGTAAGAATATTTTTTTAGTACTATGGTTTTGCTTTCACTGAATTCTTAAGTTACATCAATATGATGTTTATATTTGACAATAATAACCTTTCAGTTTTAATGAAAAGCAATTAAGTACTTTAATAGAATTTACAAAGAAAGTTATAAAAATGAATGGTTTTCCCCACTGTGAATTCTAGGAAGTTTAGTAAGACTTTAAACATTTGACCTTACATTTGAAGGCACTTGCTATAATTTGAAATTTCCAAGTCGAGTAATTTTTTTTTACAGCCGATTTGTTTCAACCAAGAAATTACAAAAGGAATCATGAAGCTAAAAAATTTGCATTAAATGAAATTTATATCAATATGGTACAAAAGAAAACACATTCATGTTTGTGCTAAATTGAATAACCCAAAACAACCCAATATTTATGTTCTTTAATTGCATCATCTATTAAAAAGTTATTATCAACAAATAATAATAAAACTAAAATTTGTCTTTCTTTAGAAATGCTGAGTGGCTTTAGAGTATTTACTGGAATTATGATGTACAGTATACAAAACTGATGTCACAAATAGATGTCTAAAAAGAAATATCAGAAATCATGGAATTCAAATATATTATTATCATCGTACTTTCTACAGTCATCGTCACTCTGATTTTTTACACATTTTTTAATGTCTGCTACAGAAAATTTTGTAGAAAGGAGTTGATAGTTTATAAAGTGCCAGAGGATGAGGAGGAACCAAGAGTCTACTATGACCCAGATGAAAATAATAGCGAAAGTTCTTTACCAGATTCTGTTGCTCAGCAGAATTCAGACATCAATGATTTACCTGGTGGCAGTGTGAAAACACAATCAAACATTTTCAAAAAAGCAGGCAATTCATTAAATAGAAGACGAATGCCAAGCTGGCATCAGGTGATCAGAATTATAAAAACAGAACCAAAAGCACCAGCAAACACAAATAATTTTGCAACATTTAAACCACATAACCGCAAAAGTATTTTTAGACCAATTATGCAACAAAATCCACTAGCGGAAATGAAATGCAGAGAAGATGATGTACAGAATACTGGTGATTATATATCAACAGGAACAAGTTCAATAACCATCCACCATCGAGCACAGAATATACAACAGGTATCTGCACAAGTACACCAAGTGCATACATCAGATGTAGCAGACAAAAAAAATCAATGTGGGTCTCCACTTGACAATGAACATCAGACAACACAAGTTATCCTTGTCGAAGAAAACACGGGCGATACTTGTGAGGGACAGCAGGATGATGAAGAGATTATGCAAACACCGTTAGAAAATCATTCATATGATGAGCCTGAATATCTGGAGGTGGATCCTAATTACCCTAGACTTTCAAATAATTTAACCAAAAGCGTTGACCTATTACATGAAAAATGTGCACTAAAAGTGGAAAGCAATGAGAGTTTGTATGATAATTTTGTTTTAACTTCTTCTTATAAAAAGCGCAAACTTTTTAATCTAAGTAGCTCAATGTTTAATGTAAATAGCAAAACAAATGAGGATAGTTTGTTGTGTGATACACGACTTTCTATTGGGAGTTACTGCATTGAAAATGAATCTGAACACCATTATCGAGACTATGTCATTCCAAATCCACATTCACATGACATTTGCTCTTATGATGATTGTCAATCTGAAGAAAGCGAAATATATGTACCGATGAACCCAGTCTCGCCAAACCAAGAATCCGTGGTTGCTGCTGAGAGCCCATACGTCAACACCAAACCAGTGTTGTGTTCTTCCAAGAGCAAAGAGCCCCAATCAGGAACGTATGTGGGTTTGTCATCTCTTCCACATTCTCCAACAATGACTCATATACAGGTTTGTGCTGAAGAATTTGAAGAGCATTCTCAAATGAAATAATTTGAAAATCAGAACAAAGATGACCCTTCTTAGAAGCAATAACGCTGCTGAGTATCGAGAAGCAAAGCAATTAAGACCCTGAGTGTAGTATTGTAAGAATCTGGTTATAGACCTGAGAAAAGTCAGATTGTAAACGACTGAACAATTTAAAAATGTGGTATTGTACAAAGAATTACACATTTCAAAGAGCCAGGCTTTCCTTGACAATCTGATAAATGGACGCAGCTATCAAGGTAAATACTTTTCAGAGATAGAAGAGATAAATTCTATGAACAGATAATTAGTGAAGCTGGGGACTCACTGCGTCACACGACGGTTGTATGACGAATCCAACTTCGTTCCCCGCGAGCGCCAGACAAAACGATGCCGTCGGCTGACTGTCTGTGGCAGTTTGAACGGATTGTCGTTAAAAACGATCTGTTGTGTGTGCGTCATGGCGTTACGTTCTCCACAGAACCCTGTCGATCGACAACTGCTGGCTTAAGATAAAAAAGCAATTTATCTGGATTTGGTTTGATTCATGCTTTTATGTAGTCGCTTCTGTGTTCTTACTTTTTTGTAGTTGCTCTGTAGGTCAACACAGGGTCAACTAACTGTAACATTCAACCTGTGTACACTACCAAGGTTAAAGCTGTGTGGTGTGAGAACAAATGCAATCCAGGCATGAAACAACCCAGACTGGTTCACACAAAAAACTGTGTCAGGATTGGCTTTACTCTCTAGTCTGAACATAACCTAGGATTTGTTATTTTTATTTGTTCTGACATGATTTGTATAATGTATAAAACATAAACAAAAGACAGTGATTTGACCTTTAAGATACAAGGAAGTATCTCTTAGAAAGTCCACAACAAAATTGATACAGAAAGTGAAATCATGTCAACACATAAGTTGATAGAATGTAAGTACTGCAGTTTCATTCCGATCAAAAAAAAAAAACCAAAAAAATATCAGTTAAAATGTGGGCGGAGTCTCACAATGTTTTAAACATGTTTCTGTTGGCTGAAAATTCACCTTGCATAAAAACATGTATACAGTTGAACTTGCCTAAGTTAAAAAAAAAAAATTGAAAAATTGTTCGACTTGGATAAAATTCGACTTACAGATTTTTAACTAATGGAAAACACAACAATCCAGCATGTAAAATAAAATTGACTTAGAAATTATTTGAGTTAGGTAAAGTCAACTTAGGCAAATTTAACTGTAGATATATTCTTGACTTCATAAAAAAAACTGCAATACACAGCTGAATGGAACTTTCCAGAGTGTTAATCAGGACAGTGCAGGAATACGTGCATAGAGTACCATGGTCGTGTCGTCACGACGCCAGGTGGCGCTCTCTGTTGTCAACAGACGTTGGTCACCGTTCATTACGCCTGGATGACTTCATAGGCTTTCTGGAATAGGCATTTTAAAATCTATATTTTACCATCAAAATGTACTGATAACACAAAAGCTCGCATTATATTAGTTATCATCAATTAAAATTTACAAAGAACAAGTAAGATACAACATCTTAATAATTACGTTACTTTAGAAATTTGGATCAATGGTTTGTCAGTGGAGAAAATGGCGTCCTGTTGAACGCATTTTGCACGATAGCAACGGAGTAGTATCACATGGTATCGTGACATAACACTGTAGTACTCTATGTCCAACATTGTTGTCCCATAAATGCGATGTGTATACCCTATTCTGTGTTACCTTAGCAACAATATCCATGACAGGGCTTAGTGGAAAGATCCATTGTTTTTTTGGTTACTTTAAAAATTTAATAATTTAATTCAACTTATATTTGAATTGCTTACCTTGTGTAACATATTACAGTGGCTTAAGGGATAAAATTTTCACCAATTAAGAGATCTATAATAATTGTTCCTATATTCTTTGTATTTTAGGTCCTAAAGTTTGCTAGTAGTATGTCTTTAAAAATCAATGACACACTGAATTGTTTAACATTAATGTGTTATCATTAGAGTTATAACTTATTTGAAAAACAAATAATTATATGCTTGTAGTACCCCATGTGGCATGTGCTATTAATCTCAATTGTATACCTGCAAACTTTGTTGGCATCTAATGTGCAAGAAAATAAATGTGTATATAGCGCCCTCTATGTAAAATCACAAAATCAAGCACCTTCTATGTTATTGTTTTTAAATTGTAGCAGTAAAACTACTACCAATTACAGTCGTCAGTCGGTATAGCTTTATTAAGAGAAATTTATATGGCCTGTATTAACATTTTAATGACAAATTTACTTCATTTTTATGAATTTTAGGATATAATCAGCCAGTACGTTTTACCTTATATAAAATTGTTATGATGCGCACGATAATACAAGACGTAAAAAGTGGAGGCTCATGCGCGAGACATATTATGCGCAACAGTTGTCAAGTGTACAGTACAATTGATGTTATTTTGAGTCAGAGAAGGACCTTCAGGGGAAGAATTATGCAGAGCAAAAGGGATGGCCTTATGAAGCCGCCAGATTAACCTTTGCAGAGATGCGCTGTGATTGGATGTTGGTGAAACAATTGTAGCTTGGGTGGATGTGTCGGTTCTTCTATAGTTATTTATTAATGTCATTCGTCATGCAAAACTTTGAAACATATTTGATCCTATTAAATGAGATGTTTTTATTGATTTTCATGGGTTTTTGAGATTTTGCCACTGGCAAAATACAATTATGTAAATGAAATCTTCATTGATTAAGATTAATTTAAAAAATTACCAAATCAATCAACTAAATATGCTACCTGTAGCAGCACACATATATTGTGCATTCCAAAACTCTCAATAATCAATACTTATTAGTTAGTAGTAACGTTTACTTTGAAATAGTCACAAAAAATAGAGATATAATTATTAAGTAGGCATATGAATATAAAGAGAATAAAGACTATTTCAGGAATCAAAATCAGAAGATATCATCTTGTCTCATGATGATTCCTTAACATAACTAAACAACACAAAAAAAGACAAGTTCCTCCATTAAACATGGATACTGTGCAATTGATTGCATGACAAACCCAATTCCAAATGGCTTTTGACCTGTACTGTGTTTGCAAGCTATGTGGTTTTTTACACCTGGAAATTAGTCTCTCTGCAGGAATTACTTAAAGGGTTATTTACAATATGTCCTAACTTTCTTGTTCTAGTAATTTTGCTTGTTTTATTTTACTTGTGCTTATAATCAAGATATTGAGTAAATAACATAAAACCGAATCTTTTGTATCTTTCTCATATCATGGTTGCCTAGATTGATGTCTTGTGCGCTGCTAAAGATCTCTGCAATATTGTTTTTAATTTCCTGGAAAAACATTTAAACTTGTACTTTCATGCTGTAATGTCATGATTAGCACTATGTTCACACAAAATAAATTCATAAACTGCATAAATTATATATTATTTTAATTTGTTATTTGTAATTTTGTTTCTGCTTTAACAAAATCATTTAATTTCATTATAATATAAAAATACCAAAATAATTATATCATTGAAATGATGATAATAAATTTTAATATACCTTGGTTGCCAGGGAAACTGTTAAAATGCTGGCCCACAATATCATTAATGCCAGACCCCATAAATGAAGTGTTCTTCGTCCTACTCTGTCCATTAGTGGAATCTGGTGAGAAAGTTATAGTGTGTTTTCAATTGGATGCTAAAGCAACAAGCTTAAAGAATGGAAGCTCTATATTAAATAGAAATGAAAGTATGAAATAACAAAACATGAAAGGAAATGAGGTAGAAACAAATCTAAAAATATTATGTATCTCAACACAACGGCAATCTTAAAATAAAAACAATTGAGCTTCTGCAAGAAAAAAAATAATTTATGTAGCAAGATTTAACAAAAGAAAATATGATCAGGACTTTTATTTATTATATAATTATGATTATTATTCATAGCACATTTTATCTTTAAATGTCATTATTTAACATTTAGTTGAAAAAATTATTTGTAAGCTTTGTTTGGACTAGACTTCTTTTGTTACACTCCCCTTATACCTTGTCAGTTTTTAACAAGAAAAAAAACTTTGAAACATTTAAGTGGTAAAATTACTCAAACCATTCAGCAAGTTTAAAAGAAAGCAAATAGAACTCTAGAAGAATAACCAGGCAGTTTTCTCTGCAGTGCCATAGTGTATAATCAAAAATTTCATCAATATATTTTGTGTGAATAAAAAATCTAATTTAAATGGTCTTGTCAACAGTTAAATGCACACATCATGAAAATTGGTCTTAGTAGAAGCTTCTGTGTGTTTATTTCCAAGTGCAAACAGAGTACGATCAGTAAATTATAGATAAAATTTCACTTTGTCTTTGTCAAAATTAATCCAACGTTAACACAACATCAGAAGCAATGAGAAAAGTTTTTATAACTGAAAATATTATCATGCTTACTGCCATTTTAACAGTTCTTCTAATTAGTCTCTAACAGAGGGCGCCATTATATTATATTGTCATAGACAACATATTTCTGTGGTATTGTAATTTAAATATGCTGGCTAAATAGTGAGCTCAAAAGCCCAAACTTTTTGTTTGCATTTCAGTATACATAAATCTATAAAAAATTACTATAACCATCCCTCTGGGACTGCAAGGCTAAGCGACGTCTTCACTACTTTTTTCTCAAACCTACCACACTCCCTAAGACTCCTAATGAGTACATTTTTTTTTTTTAAGTTCACTTCATATTTTAATTTAAAATCACATTCGCAGCAAGAAGCTGAATTGTAAGGATTTGTACATGAATAATAATAAAATAAAAATAATGGACTTAATTTATAAAGCCTCATATCATTGCATTTTTTAAGAGGGTCCCTGAATATCTGCAGACCTTCCAGGATAAGCTGGATGGGTCACCTCTATAAGTATTGTATAAAAAAGCATTACTTACAATAATTCACCTAAATTTGAATCAATACATTAATAATTTATCAGTAAAACATTTCATTTTGGATACCTCTTACTAAAATTGGTACAGAATGTTTAAATTTTGTTAGCTAGGCTTACCGTGACTATCGTCATAATGACCATTACTGACCCCGTGCTGAGGGTTGCATATGCACTTTTTTCAGGCTCAATACCAGCATCTTCGAAAATAGAGGTAGAGTAGTATAGCACCTGCAAGTCAAAAGAATTATCATCTCAATCCATCTAAATCCAAATGTTAAAATCATTATCATATCCTTGTAAAATCAGGAAGTAAAAGTATATAGGGATTTAGCAATGATTGTTTACAAGTGGTCGTGTGACCTAATTTGGGTATACATAAAAATCATTGCAGTGTGACAGCATAGGAAAAGATAATGTATGGTTGCGAAAACAACTACCCACTGTTACTGTGATAAGTAAATGCTAGGAAAGGCAATACGATTGTTCAAAATAGTGTTCATTTACTTATCCTAGCATTCTCCTTGGATTGCATGCTTTGAAATTTAAGTGATCCTTCATAAACCATAGCTGGCACTAACATCGCAGCGTAGTTTGTGGGTGGAAGACCATCATGCATACCTAACCATGCCGTAGATGTGCAGGAGCCTAGGCCTAACATTTGTAGAAAAAACTCAATGTTTGCGGCGAGCATCCTTCAGCAAAATATTAAGGAAAATTGTAATTTCCAATCAATTTGGTATAGTTTACTGGGAATTATGATGATCTTTACAGCAATAAACAAGGGACGGCCGCATAGAAATCTCCATGTAAAATATCACTGTGTCAGTGGATTGTTTATATCCAACACCCAAGTTAGGTCACATGACGTCCATTGCTAAATCCCTCTTTTTAGTAATGAAACGTTAATAAATTATCTGTAGAACTGATTTGATTTAAGATAAGTCGGAAAATCAATGCATGTAAAACCTAATTGTTAATTCAGAATTTGCAGCTTTTTATTCTTTAAAACTGGTACTGGTATAAGTCTCATTGTTCAGACAAAAAAACTCAGGCAGCATGTACAACTGCATTGAACACGAAAATACCCCTAAAGTTCAGTTGGGAGATTATTCCAGAGTCTGGAAGTGTTACAAGAAAAAGAAAAACTCCTGATTCTCTTACAATGATGTGGAACAGTAAAATGTAAAGATGAAGGGAAACATTGTAAATTCTATTCATTTCATGCAAGCAACTTAATTCACCACGTCAGCTCTGTCGCCTTGTCAAACAAAGCTTTAAATTTGTTCGACGACACGACACTAGAAAGAAATCACTCATGCGTGACCGTCCTACCGGGCGTCCTACATTTTCTGCATATGTAGATTTGGCCAAATTGCCTCCTAGAATCTACACGACAAGGAGAATTTAATATTCTCACATGCGCAGATGATATTTAGTGATGTCATCACGTTCTACGTCCTACTATCGTCGTACAATTAAAAGCTCCATACTCTCTGCAACAATTATCACTGACTTTTGGCTATATATATGGGAATGATGTCACATTACATTCATATGGGCTATAGACTGATAGCATAATAGAGCTTTTAATTGAAAATAAAATCTGATTTCAACACTGTGCAACACAGATCATATCCTTCCCTATGCCTTCTCCCTCCCTTTATCTCCCTGTTCTATCTTCCATCTCATACCACTCTTTTCCCTTACAATATCTCTTTTCTCATTTTATTTTCCTTGTGCTTTTTTTAAAAATAAATTTCTATCAAATTGTCTTTACTCCCACTTTTATGATCTAACAATTTAAAAAGAAATGTAGATTACTCCAGTGATGCCTGAGAGCTGCTGTGACAACTGCATAACGACACTGATGATCAGCGGTAAGCGGAGCGATCTCATCTTTAAAAGTTGCAGAACGGAAATCTTCTCTTCTTTCTGTTCCTCCTCATACTCCACTTGCATCTCGCTGATGTCAGCACTGACATTCACCGTATTCCGTAACAGCTTTAATGCTGGATGGGAAACAACGAAAGGTATTATAAAAATTGTAAAATGTTTACAAACTTTATTAGGGCAAAAGAATCGTTGTGTTGCCAAAGCCGCGACATTTTGGAAATTAGGGTCGTTCTGCACTCTCTGTTTCTGTTTACTGACTCACTGTTCTCCTAAAGCCAGACTTGCCAAAATGTTTGCTGAAATAATAGGCTTCACACAAAAACTGAAGTCCACCTGCCACTGCAAGCACCACCACTTCCTCAACCTCTTCTTTTTCAATTGACACTAAGTATCTTTAATAATTACTTGAATAAAATTTCTTGTTGGAGGACACTGCATCGCATACATTTTTGTTGGTAAAGATAACCACAGGATTAAAATTTAAGGTGAAGGTATAAAAATTATTAATTAAAAATTTCAAAAACTGTAAAAGTATTTTGGGCTCCTGGTTAGTTAAATTTAATTTTCCAATACCGTAGTTCCTTACTATAAGCCCACTCCTCTTCAATACAAAATTGAGCTAATTTTTTGGGGTTGGGCTTATTTATATATTACCCAGCTAACAATATTACCTTATAAGAACGTTATAGTTTGTTGGTGAAAACGTTATTTTGTAGAGCCATATGTACGTACATAAATGTTATTTTGTAGCATACCAAACCACAACATTCGCGAATGTTATGAGAACATTTTGTGCTTGCTGGGTATACCATGGAGCCTTCTTTTCAATCAAAAAGCAATTTTCCAGCATTGTATGCCTATTTCAAAGCTTATCGTTAATTATTTCTAGAGTCTTTTTGCGACATTTAGACTAGACATGACAACATATCACATCGTTTATATTCTTCGACACTGAGCATATTTTGTTGTCATTGTTGTTTTGTTATTGTGTCTAGCGTAAATGTGGCTTAAGATTCAGTAAATTCATACCCTGGGCTTTTACCCAAGGGAAGGCTGGTATATAAAATTGGGTATAAATTAGGGCAATGTGTGTATAACAGAGGTAGGCTTAAACACAAGGGGACTCAAGCCGGGAACTCACTTCGCCCGACCGTCGCCGGCCAACACGATTCCATGAAGAACGCAACATGATGACGCGTACACAACGGATCGTTGTTAATGGCAATACCTTCAGACTGCCACCGAAAATTAGCAGACGGCTCAGAGGGAGCGGAGTTGGAGTCGTCGTGTAACACATGGAGTGCCCGGCTGTAAACCCGTGGAACTACGATAAATAAAAATTAGATTATTGGGTAAAATTTAGTTTTTACCCCATTATTTTTTGAGACCTTATTATTGAGGCACATACCTTTTTCTGCTTCTTTTGGTTCATCTATATTTATGAGCAAATATCTTGGACTTTCTGGACAAAATGGCAAAGTAATTAATTGGTAAATAGCAGGTACAGCTGTCAATCCAAGCAAAATCCCCCACAACGTCTGTGTGCCTACAACGAAAAAAAGTAATTGAAGAACAAATATCGAATCTTCCATGTATTCTGGCAATATTTTTATTTTAATACAAAGAATTATTTTTTACACAAAATAATAATTTTTCTATTATTTATATTAAAAAAAATATAAGTTACCATAAGTTAGACAGTACATTAAAAAATCCAATCGAAAATATTAAATATAATTTAAACTAAAATTGTTACTGGTAAACTGGTGTCTGACATTTTTTTTTTTAAATGTTTATTTTCAATGATTATAAAAAGGTTTATGCAAAAATTAGCATTTAGCCATTAAACACATTTTATTCTGAAAGGATTACTGGCAAACATTAAATTTAATTGTGTCTGACATTTTTTAAATAAAATTTGATTATTTTAAAAAAATTATAAAGAGGTTTATGCAAAAATTAGCATTAACCATTAAAGCCCCATTCCTGGCAAAATTTCAGTTAAGAAAAATATGATTTTTATATAGTTATAAAGATTTATAAACATATTACGAAATTGCTAGTTTAACTGAATTTTGACATTCCTAAACATAAAAAAAATGTAAAATAAGACTGAAATTTGATTTTTTGCGTTCCACACAAAAAATAAATGCGGATGAATTTTTTATGTTTGATTTTGTGATAGGTCTGCGAAGAAATATAGTAGCACCGGAAACATTACCATATCCAACACTGTTAGGCTAGGCCTAGACTTATTTCGATTTAGGTTCTGTTGTCACACATAAAAATGGCCGACATGATATTTTCCGTTGCTAGTATTGACACTTGTGAAATATAATATTTCATAAGAATTATTTCAAATCTGTTAAAAAAATTATTCTGACCGAGATTTTGACAATTAAAAAAACATATCTCAGGCCTACTCGATCGACCGCAATGTGCGAAATGCAAAGTACAAAAACTAATTTCATTAGAGAGGGCACATTTTATTGACTGTATAAAGTATACATAAAAGCGAGAGCATTCCAGCGGATGCGATCTACAACCTCTGAATTTGCCTAGTAACGAAGAATTCGTCGAGAAAATGGTAAAAAAAAAAAATCTTTTAATGAATTTTTGCTGGGAATGGGGCTTTAAACATGTTATTCTGAAAGAATTGCATAATATACAGTACTTAATACAGTACTCTACATACCAAGGATTTCTGTGAGGCCTAAGACCTGTGAGAGTAAGATACCAAAAGTAACACCAAGTTGATTTAGAACTCCAATGCCTCCTCTAAGGTTGAATGGTGCAATTTCCGACAGGTACATTGGAACAATTCCAGTGTTTATGCCTGCAATTTGAAGCATCAGATAAAATTAGATATTGAGGTTTCTCATGAGTATACACCACAGGTGGGCAAAGTGCAGGGGTTCCCATCTATATTGGAATAGGGGCCAAAATTGTTCACTGAATAATTTTGAAGAGTCAGGGCAAGAGGTGCACTATGGCGAGTAGTGCCATCCAAAGGCCGCAGGTGCGAGCCGAGGAGGATTAAGCTTAAGGTTAATCTATAAAAATCATTGTTCTCATGATACACATGTATTATGACATTAGGGGTCCTCAATCAATTAATTTTAATAAATTTTCAAGAGAGTGCAAACCTTCTCACTCTCCATGAAAGACATAATAAAATGATTTTGTCATTTTGATCATCGTTTATTTTAATTTTTATCATAAAACGGTACATTCAGGTATGTAACACTGTCAACCCCCTCCTCTCCTAAGGTGTATCTTTTATATTCTAGTACCCTGGTATTCAATACCCCGCCTGCGGGCCAACTCAGGCCCGCCAAAGATTTGAATCTGGCCTGCGCGACATGGCTAAATATTAAATCATTTTCCAGCCGATTTTTAGTACTTAAGAGAAAAGTTTTTCTGTTCTAGAAACCCACTCTGGCTCTGGCATCTAGAAGTGTATATTTTTAAAATTTCTGACCTTTTTGCACACAAGCCGCAAAAAAGGACAAGTCACAATTTTAAAAACAAATCATGGACTTCTAAGAGATATGGTAATTACATGGAAGGTAATATGCTGATATCATGATTGACATATAAAAGTGGCTTAATAAAGAACAGATCTAGGGGTTCAAATGATGCTTAAATAAATAGACTTTTCTAGTGCAATCTAGAGTGCATATTTAACAACTTGACTACAGTTTGTCAATTGGTTGCCAGCACAAATTTGCAAGTGATGCTTATATAAACATACTTTTCTGCAGTCCTATATACAGTATATTCAACAACTTTGGTAGCATTATAATTGGTTGGTAGCCTACAGATTATATATACAGTTTGTGTACAGTGATAGAACAATAAAACCTCAACTCTTTTCAAGCTTGGGAGGATTATATAAACAACTTTACTATAGTACAAAGAAAATGCTTCTCCATAAATAAAGTTTCATTCACATAATTTCAAGGCTCAATTAAAAAGCCTCAAGTTTCCCAAGCATCAGTTTTGTTATAAATAACTCAATTCGCATTCATTGATATGAAAAAAAAAACAATAATTGGACATAATTTAAAGAATAAATGCTTAAATAATGAAAAATTATTCAATATTCTCTTTATTCACAATAATGCAATCCACTGATAATATATTCTGAAAACTAAAGAAGGTAAACTAATTTCTGTCACTGGCATTGTTTAACTAACCTACCTGAGTTGATAATTTGTGATCGGTAAATTTCTAGTGGTAGGATAGGAGAACCTGGGGTGGAAGTTTTTTTATTTATCCCCACCCTTTTCCCTTTATTACGCTACTACACTCCATCATTTTTACAAAACAAGGCATATCATAGTTAATGTTAAAAAACAAATGCTACATTATAATAGGTATATTAGGAAGACTTGTAGACCTATAAAAGAGAATGGGTAAGGCGGTTATTGAGTAAAATGTGGAAGTACACAATTATGTCGGCCTACCATTGGTCTCAAACAGATTGGAACTGTCCACCAGTTTAAAAAGATTGAATACGTGGGCTCTAGTGAAGATGATAAAAATAATATATGGTCCCTTATACATACCTTTTCAGGGAGATTCTCGGTTTTAAGTCAAAAAATAATAATAATAATAATGATGATGGTGTTGGTGTTGATGATGAAGTTGTCTAGGATGATGCTGATAATGATGAATCTGATGATTTTGTTACTCCCTTCCATGTTCCACTTAAAATCAGTTCCATTTATTTTGTTTGTTTTGCTGGTACTGTATTTGTCACATGTTGTTCTTGAGCACCTACCACAGTTAATGCCAATCACAAATCGTCCAATAATCAGCATTTCGTAAGAGTTTGCCTTATTGCTGAAGCCCATAAGCACAGCTCCGATTAGTGCCAAAATATTATTCAACATCAGGCCACGCTTCCTGTTCAAGAAATTTTAAACACACTTCAAATAAGAATAGCTTACAGTAAATCTATCTTTGTCAACCTTTGTCTAAAAAATTTAATTACACCTGGAGTTTGTTATAAATATGATTTAACAATAAGTAAAGCCAAAAAAATGTTTTGGTGCCCATTTCAAAATTAGTGTTATAAGGCAAAAGTATATTAAATTTTGAATAAACACCATAAAACCATACTATTGCTACAATTTTTACTATCACCAATAAAATTTTATTTTTATTTTCTTCTCCACTCCATCTGGATATTTTTGACAAAACAATTTGCTAAAAAATAAGAAAACAATATAATATTTTTTTACGCCTTCCTCTGATTATCTAAAAAAAAAAATAAGGTCTAAAAAAAAATAAGGTCACAAAACAAGGTCTATAAAAGGTCTCGCCATTACATGATTAAAGTATATTGATGGGGCCTAGCACAATTTTTACAGTATCATTAATTTAAATAGGTTTTTCTGATCTTTTTGCACACAAACCGCAAAAAAAGGACAATTCACTATTAAAACAAATTATGGACTTCTAAAAAATTAGGATTTATTACATGGAAGGTAAAATGGAATGAAAGTCAATTCGAACGAATGCCAGTTCCAGCAGATGCAAGTTCAAGTAGGTGCCTGCACAAGCGGATGCATTTTGTGTGAACTATATTTATCGTTGCCCTATTCTTGTATTTGTAAGTGAAATAGTACTTTCGTTTATTTTAAATGCAAAAATGCTCTGTGCACTAAAGTTCTGAAATGTTTTTGGTGCTTTTGATAATTATTCCATGTTTGAATTAATGTTCTGGCAAATCCGACTACCACTACTAACAACAAACACCCGAGGCCTATATTTTAAAACTATTGAATTGCGCACATTTCATTCTGAATGCACAAATTTTGTCTCCAGTTGGGGTTTTGTATTTAAAAGAATAAATTATATTTGTAATTGAATTATGTTGTAATTATATTTGTAGGCCCTAAATTTACGATTTATATTTGTACAGTAAATTGTAGTAACTGTAATTGGCTTTTCCCAGCAATACTGGTTAAAGCCATTGATTTTGTTCTAAATTTTTTTCTTCTTTTTTCTCGCATACAGTATTTTCCTATCTTTTTGCACTGTATTTTTTTCTGGCCGTCCCTTTGGTACACTTCCCATGCTTAGCATTTTTCTGTGCTTTGCTGAAGCATAGGCCATACATCAAGGATGTGCCTCCTAATATTTACTGTCAATCTATGGTGGGATGTGTGTGTCAGGACCAATTAAAGTGATTTAAGGTCAAACAGTCTACACTGGATATTTAAAAAAAAATGTCAGTTGATCTGAATGAAACGTACGGGAAAATTTAATCAAGTTACAAGGAAGAAATTTTTATGTGTTAGTGACGATCCAGTGAAGGGTGTAAATTTAATGGCCTTTTCAATTTTTTAGGACCCAGGGTTAATAATATCTCTTTAACAAAAACCAATGGGTCTAAATTAAATATTCTATAATACTTTGTAAAGGTCTTGTAATTTTTGTGACGATTCGCAGTATGGTGTGGATCTGAGGACTATTTAAAGGAAAACATCCCAGACCACATATTTCGAAAACGGATCAACTGATCTGAATGAAACATTCGGAAAAAGTTTAACTAAGTTACAAGGAAGATAGTATTATGTGTTGGTGGCGAATCAGTCAAGGCTGTAAATTGAAGGGTCATTAAAATTTTTGAGATCCCAAATGTAAATATCTATAAAAAGTTTTCAATGGGTGTAAATTAACTTTCTATTAGTTTGTAAAGGTCCAGTAAAGAAATGACTAAACTTTTGTGATGATTAGGCGTAGGGTTGTAAATATGAGGACCATTTAAAGGAAAACGTCCCAGACCAGATATTTAAAATACGGGTGAACTTATTCGAATGGAACTTTCGGGAAAGTTTAACAAGTTACAAGGAAGATATTATTATGTGTAGGGGACGATCCCGGTTAGAATGTAAATTTGAGGGTTATTCAAATTGCTTACTTCCCAGTTATAGATGGATAAAAATGACACTTTGCAGAATAGTTTTCATGGTGAAATGAAGAAATGATCCAATTTTGGTTGCAATCTGCAGTAGGGTGTGGATATGAGGACCATTTAAAGGTTTTTTTGTTGACAGTTGATTAAATTATTTAAATGCAATTTGTGTTTTCTAAAGCACTTAAACAAGTTACAGCTAGGTTAAGTTACTCAAAACTACACATGAACAATTTTTGCTATCAGTCATTGAATCGCTATGAACTGAAAATGCGTTTTCCTAAGCAAGGTCGGCCCATATAGCACGCAACATCGCAGCCATAGTTCAAGTCTCACTAATATCATTGCAGTGAACTTGGTTTTCGTTTTTTTTCCCCCCACTTCATTTTTTTCAACTTCGTTACATTATTATATTGGTTTTCTGTGTTTTTTTTTACTTTATATCTTTTAATGACTTTTCTTTTTGTTGCAATTTCAACTTCATTTCTCATTAAAGCAATGGGGAAAAGCCCTATGTTCTGTTGTTCAAACAGACATAGTCTAGTTGTAACTGTTATTCACTATAAAAAATTATATTCTCATATACTGTATAGGTGTCAGAAGGTGCACCAATCATTGGTGTACTGTGATAAGACTATCAACAGTACAGTAATAATGACATGACATCATATCAATTTTCCACAATTCACCATTTGTCTATAGTTCAAAACCCACTTTCTTAAAAGCGAGTGAAAGATAAATCATTATTTTTAAGAATGTGGGTATATTTAATCATAAATTATTGTTAACCTAAAAATCAATTAAACAATACTATAGATACATAAAGCTATAGGCTTCTCCCCTGGAACCCACCAGGGTTTACCCCTGGCTCCCAGGCAAAGCTTGAGCCTCGGCCGAATGCAAATTGTTAGCACAAAATAGGAAATTTTTAAGTAATCGTCCCCAACTCAAACAGGTTTCTACTTTCATTTCATTTAATCCATGCCCAGCACAAATATTTTTCTTCTCGGGATCATGCCTTCTTCCATAGATTGTTTTCATCTTTAACTTAAATCATATTACTGTGTATATTTTGTGTATTCTATGGAAGTTAATAATGTTTTTTGATTGATTGATAAGTGGATCTTTTTCCACTTGCACTAACATCCACTCAAAGTAAATTCCGCTCAAAGTGGCATTCGCTCGAATTGACTGGTTCACGGTAAAATGCTGATGTCATGATTGACATATAAAACTAGTTTAATGGCCTAATAAAGAAAAGATCTAGGGGTTCAAATGATGCTTAAATAGACTTTCTGCAGTCCAATCTAATGTACATATTTACCAACTGGGTAGTGTTTTTTGTCAACAATTTACAAGTGATGCTTATATAAGCATATTTCTGCAGTCCAATCTATAGTACATATTTAACAACTTCGGTGGAGTTTGTTATTTGTTTGGCAGAGCAGTTTATACAGTACTACAGTAAGTTTGCTCAGTAACAGAACAAGCCACCTCCACTCATTCAAGATTGGAAAGATTCTATAAACAACTTTACTATAGAATAAACAAAAGCACATGCCCAGGTACAACCATGGAGGCCATGCTCCACCATAACAAATTGTATTGTATTATATTTGAAATACTTTCATTTACAACATGATTTCAAGGCAAAGCAAACAAGTTTCAAAAGCATCAAACCTTTATTTATTTATTTATTTTTTTCAAATAAAAATAATAAATACTTAAGTAAAGAAAAATGATTCAATATTCTCACTGGAGCAAAAAACACAATGATGCAATCAAATAACATATTCTTAAAACTAAAGAAATTAAACTAAACAGGAAATCAGTAAATGTAATGCAAGTCTGTGGGTGATGCCTTCCCCATTCACCAACTACCTGCATGGGCAATACAAGTCTGTGGTGTTCAAAATTAATATTTTACACGACATTGCTTTTTTGGTTGACACAAGCTGAGGTGCTTGCACTAATGGACTATATGCAGTAAAGTAAATAACAACACTGCGGTGTACAAGAAATAGAGAGTTTTGCCCTCAGGCAAAATGGGCCAACTTTTCCTATGTCTAATGCCTGCAGTTTGCCCACAAGCACAAAATGAGAGAACTAATTGATAGTGATTTGGTTCACTTTTAGGAATCCTGTCTCGGCCTGTTTCGGATATTTTATACTTTTACTTTGTTGTACTGAACTGGTTGTAGTTTTTATATATTTTACTGAGACAAAATAAATGAAATCAAATGAAATGCACTGCCTGTAATCAATACTTTAATACAAATACCATGGTTTTGTTCTATTCAAATTAAAGTCTGCTGCTGTGTATAGTGGCTGAACAATAGCCGCCTACGTAACAGTACAACTGCTTTTGTGTATATCGGCTGAATATAGCCACCTACAGTACCACTGCTTCAAGCTTGTGAGGAGATTTATAATATATTTGTATGTATTTGCAAGCCTATACATAAGACCAAATAAAATTAATTGTTAATTTCACATCAAGGATTTGAAATTATTATTACTTGCTTTTTACTATCCTATATACCAGGCTGGTAAATAGTAAAAATAGTAATTATTTTTATTGTCCATGGAAAATTAATGATTTTTTTTGTTTTTTGAAAAATTGCAAATAGTAAATCTTTTCATGAAGCTCCAAAGTTATAAGGATGGAGATTTGAAACTAGCAATTAATTTTATTTACCTTAAATACTTTATTAAATGCTTGTAGCAAAAATATCAGTAAAATAAGTACAAAATCAAAGTTGTACCAACCTTCCAAAGTAGTTGGCCACAGGGCCTGCAGAGAATGAGCCAATCATCCCACCAATGGCAAAGATAGCAACGGTGGTCGACCACAAAAAGTCAACCGTATCCTCTGGCAACACATCACTATTCCTATCATAGTAACTATCATTGATCCAGTCTGTAATAACCTTAAATAAAACATAAAAAAACAAATGTTAAAAACAGGAAAATTTATTTATAACATTACATATTTTTTATTATTATTTATTTAACAATATACATTTGTCAACTGTAATGGAGATTAATAATACTACCAAGGCAAGACATTTCCTGTGTTCTTTTGCATAACCCTTGTACTCTTATCATTCACCTTATCATGAATTGTATATTTTTATATTTCTCGATTGTTTTGATTGTATTTTTACCTTGCTGTTGTGTTTGAAATAAAAAATAAATGAATAAAAAAGATTTTTTGTACTGATGGTCTGTAAATGATGTTTGTAAATCAATGAAAACTTGTTTTTTATAACCTATGCTGTATCTACAGTATAAAGTGTCACAATATAATTAGATCATTTCAACGTGATCTAATCAACGACGAATTTGTTTTTTACAACCATGTATAAAGTATGACAAACAGTAAATCAATAAGGTACAGTACCAGTACATTTATTAATCTGTGGTTCATTAAATTTTCAATCTGAATAACCAGGGAAGCTGTGTTGAGCATCACACCAATAACAATATTATTAAATATTTGGCTTACTTTGCATAATTTACATTATTTACCTTTCCCAATACACTACTGAAATTAGAATTTAAAAATCATTTAGTTATAAGAGTATTTCGACTGGTAATCAATTTCAGAAAATTCTACTGCCTGTACATCAGTGAAAATTGATTTGTTGTGATATGTATTTATCCCAAATTAATTTGATATGATTAATTTGAACAGTTCTGTATTTTGATGAGTCAATTTTTTAGGGTTTCTAGATTTTGCAAGATACAACTTTATTAATAATAATAATAAAATTAGCCTACAGTACTGTATAAAATATTCATCCTCTTAATGCATGTCAAAAATGGAAACATGCTGAATTCTCCATCTTGTATGTTAGATCTACTGTAAAGTAGAACATGGACTGCATATGGCACAACATTGAGTTGTTGTTGTCCAAATTGTAGTACTGTATGCAGTTTGGCCCAAACATTTGTTGTGCAGAGAACACAGGAAATCCACCATGGACAAGTGATTTTATTCTACGTTCACATGGTCATGCAAATTGAAAGCATCCTAATGTTACTCACCTGCTGAGGTGCATTAATAACACCTGTATTATACCCAAACTGCAAAGATGAACCTAACACAGCTGATGCAATGGTAAATATTAGGACCTTAGTCCACTTTCCCTGAAATTAATAAGTTACAAGATATTAATTAATCTGATTTCATAACATAAATTACACTTATATACTATACTTATACATTATTGCATAACTATTTATATCTTTAAATAAACTCCAAATCCTGCAAACCGTGCAGCAAAGATGACCACAACATCTTATCTCCATCATATCTTTCTGACCGCTTTCCCCTAAGGGAAAATAGTTACACCAGACTTGTCAATGGTATCAATTTCAAATACTGTAAGCTATGGAATGACCTTTCAGATGAACTTAAATATTCTTCTAATTTACATATTGTCAAGCAAAATGTTCTTAATAACTTCTGATTCATTCATTGTCATCCCCGAAACCAACCGGGTTGGTATCTGCGGGGGAAATTTTCACTGCTAGTTAAGATGCTATGTTGTGTTCTTTTTAATTCTTTTTGTTTTCCATAATTTTGTTTCTTCTTATTATGTACTGTATGGCCTTTTGCACGGCTCTGATCCCAATCACACTTATTGTATCATCCCAAGGCTGCCTTAACTATTGTACTGTTCAGCCAACTCAAAACAAGTTTTCATTTTGCTGTTTTACTGTATTTTATCTCAGCTCAGGGTCACACTGCACATTCACAGTACTTTCTCCTTTGCACCGGATTTTGCGGGAAATGTTATGATACAAGATGTCAAAATTGGCCGCTATCAAAACGACCTTGGCTTGGTCTAGGTTCAGTTTAAGTTCAGATATGAAGATGAGACAGAAATTTACTGTAAAATGTATGGATTGCAAAAAGGTGGCCCTGAGCTGACGTAACTATTAAGTGTGATTTGGGCTCTTACTGCAGATAGCTTGAAATGAAAATGTATGCCTTATATTTGAAGTATTGAGCTGTTGTTTCAACAGAAGTTAAACAAAACCAATTTGCCAACACAACTGAGAATTGTACCTGTACCAGACAAGACACTTTCATATAGTAGATATTTACTTCTTTTCCTACTAAGATGGAACCATAATAATAAAAGAATCACTCTGCCCGAAATTATTTTCACAACAAAAACAAAACTTCACAAAAGTTATTTTTAATACAAAAATTAACAAATAAAATAATAGTTAAACAAAAATTAAATACTTATTATTTAATGAGGAAAGTAAAATTAATAAACATACACTGAAATTTAAAATAAAATATTTTAAAAAATAAATACTTAAAGTATTGAAAGATACCGCAAATGCTCGAATAAGCGCCACTGCGCTTATAAACTTTTTGGCGGCTTCAGTGCGGTGCTTATTCAAAGAGCGGCGTTTATAAAATGCTTTTCTTGCCCGTTTATATGTTACCTAGGCTACAGTATTTCACGTTTTCCTGTAGTTCAGTAGGCGCTTAACGAAAAAAAATCATGTTTGAGAGCGGCACTTATTCGAGCATTTACGGTAATGAAAAGAAACATTCAAAAGTAAAAGAAATTATTGAATGGAAATTACTGTAGTCCCCATATGAAATGAAACAAAATGAAGGAAAGAATCCCGACACAATGGCGTGCATTCCGATACATGGAGTAAGAATTATACTAGCATAGGCCTATCTTATCTAAGATTAATCAGTGGACCTTTTTGATGAAGGAAAGAGTTAAGGAAATAGACCAGACCTTCAAGGTCCTAGGCCTAGCTAGGTAGCATGGGGAGGCTAGGCCGCCTAGGCCTAGCCTAGGTTTATGAAATTGAACCAATGCTACCACCAGCTTATTTTAATTTCAGGCCTAAATAAGTAGGTATAGGCTAGGTCAGGCCCTAGTTGTAGTGGTAGTAGTAGTACTACTACTAGGTCTAGCCTAGTGGCCTAGTGGGAACAGGTCAAAACGGCAAAAAACCAAAACGGCAATAAGTCAAAACGGCAATGACCAAAATGGGAAAAACCAAAACGGCAACACTTTTAGACCACAACGGCAATGGACCAAAACGGCAATGGCTAAATAAAATCAACAATAGTTTGCTTAAAATGCCTTTATTTAAATTAAAAGTTTATTGAAAGTAACGTTCCATGGACCCCCTCTTGATTTCGCACCTTATTCATGAACTTTAAGGTGCTATTAACTTGTATTTACCCTGGTTTGATGGTTTTATTTTAACTGTTACTAATATAACAACATTAAAAAGTACAACTCAAATAAAATTAACAGATGATTCTGATTCAATATTTATTTTGGTATATCATCAGTTCAGTTTATTTCTCATCATCAAAACATTGTACAAAACAGATAAAATTCGCTCAAGGCAGGACAGAAAAATATTACAATAAAAGATGATGCAATGATGGTGTATAAAAGTTTTCTTTAAGAAGTAAAAATTAATTCCAATGTGGCACTACATACAGTAAAACCAATTATAAACATGAAAGTGTACAACGATAAATACGGTGAAAATGAGGCTAAATTGTCATAGAAGTAAAAAACGCGAAGTACAATAATAATAGTAATAATAATAATAACAATAATAATAATAATAATAATAATAATAATAATAATAATAATAATAATAATAATAGTATAAGGCTCTATAAAAAATATTATTAGTTTATCATCCTATCTGGTCAGGAAAAGTGATGAGGGAGGGAGACTTTTTTTTAATTTTTAATTTTACAAATATTACCCATGGGTTGTTTGCTGGTGCATTGATATTCAAAGCAAAACATGATTTAGATAATGCAAACAATATCTACTAACTACTAACTATTTAATAAAATAAATGAAAAAAATTAATAAAAAAAATAAAATAAACAAATTTTCAAATTTTTTTTATAATAAATAAATAATAATAGTAACAATAACAACAACAATACATGCATTGATGTTCAAAGCAAAACATGATCAAAATGCATTGATATTCAAAGCAAAACATGATTTAGATAATGCAAACAATATCTACTAACTATTTAATAAAATAAATGAAAAAAATAAATAAAAAAAATAAAATAAAAAAATTTTCAATTTTTTTTTTTTTTTTCAACATTTATTTTTTCCCAGTACCACAGAAGGCATGAGGGTGAGGGTGATAAACTAATAATTTTTTTTATTGGGCCTAACATACAAATTCAATAGTAAAAAGATTGGGGGAATCACAATATAAAAGCAGTAAACATTTAAATTAAATAATTAAAACTTTAAAATACAGACAAAATGAGGCTAAACAATTTATGTCATAAAGTAAAAAAGCATGAAAGAAAAAAAAACCACTTAGTGCCAATGTGTGCCCTTGTGCGGACAGGGAATGTGACCCCCTCTGAAGCTGGAAACCTTGTTTTTGCAAAATAAATTGATGCAATTTACTATTATAGGCCTAATCAATAAATTTCTCATCAACCGGTATAACCTTGGAATTGACATAACATAACTGATGTCGTACACACTCTTCAGTGTGAAATGTGGCTCTCTTTGCAAGCACATCTAACATCTAAGGAAAGAAGAGCTTAGATTGGTACCAGATAAAATAAATGTTGTTTTCAACATTAATACATTATGCTAATTTTCATCTTTGTAAGCGCATAAGACAGTGCAAAATATTTCTGTGACAGTCTTTTGAAGTGTGTAAAGCTCCATTTTATCCCATACATAGTCAAAATATTGGGGGGATGATACAATGGACATCCCCCCCCCATGTCAAATATTGGGGGATATATCCCCCATCCCCCGGGATCTACGCCAATGATTGCCACTGCCAAAAGGTGCAAAAGCTAGTCGCTAACCAGGGTTACAATCTTTCCCCTGAGAGGGTATTTTTGTGTATACAGTTCGCCCTCCAATTCAAGACCACCTTTGGGACCTGAACATTTTTGGGGTGGTCTCAGGGTTGGTCTCCAATTAGTAGAGAGCTTTAGTGTTAAATGTTGAAGATTGTTATTTGGGTCTTTGGAAAAGTGGTCTCGAATTAGAGGGGTCCACCTATTACTTGGCTATATAAATGCAAGAATATCATCAAAGCATATTATTATTTATCCATCCTAAGAAAATTATTGTTTCTACTTCCAGTTCTTTAAATAGAGCAGAGTATGCTGCATTTCTCTTCGCTTGACCAGTGTTTAATCTATAATTTTTTATCTTTTTTTTTCTGACCGCAAAATATATTATTGGAAAAGTAGCTTTAATTAACAGATCTAAATCAACCATGGTTGAGTGAAAACAGCAAATACTAAAAACTGAAATGGTTTTAGGGGTTTCAGGTCTGGAGATCATCTCTGAATTGTATCCTTTGACAGGTTAATCATCAAAATCAAAATGCATCAGAGTGCATTTCCTCATGGGAAGCCTTGATGGCAAAACCAAACCGTGTGAAGTGATCATAATAGGTGCCATTGCGCGTTCATAGATCTTTCTACTTGTTCTCTAAAAAAAATAGTTTAAAAATCGCATTTTCAAAGTAATTTATTTTATTTGCTACACAAATGAAGTAGATGAGGAAGAGCTCAATTTTTTACACACTACTGGTAGACTAACACGTAAAAAACTGGCCGAACATTTGTTTCCGAAAGAACTATTAGCAATAATTGCTTGTTATGGACGTGTGGGAGTAGAAATTAAGAAAGATGAGACGTATTACAGGTAACAATGTTTTGCTCTGTTTAAGCATCTACGTAAAATGGATTCACCTGCCTTTCCTAGATAAGGCAATCTAACCCAGATCTTAATCAAGCTATCATAAGTAGGCCTATGTATACATTTTGGTTCATTTAATTTATTCAGTACATGGATAAAACTTTTGACATGAATTTTCTAATGTTACAAAGTTCAGCTTGAAGTTTATCGGAATCTACTAGACAATAGACTTTATTTCTCTAAAAACAACGGACCCCTTTCAGGGTAAGAGAGAACATTCAGCTTCTTGGTAACAGAAAAAGATATACATAATTAACGAGGTGCGGACACCACCACTTCGCAACAGTAGTACAAAACTAAAATAAACTCATGATTTTCGAAACAAAATTGGCGAGATTAGATTTCTATTTGTTACTACTTGTGTAAATAACTGGTACATTTTCATGACATTGGGTCTGGTGTAATAGTACTTTTTTAGTCGCTCCGCCCGTTAAATATTTAAAAACATAAGTAATGAATCGTCCCCCACATCATTAAGATTACACAGCATACTAATAAACCAATTTTTGTGTCGACTGCCCTCTACAGTTCAGTAGACACGGGCTTATTCGACTGGTTCATCGATGAGTACGAATTTTCGTTAGCCTACAATTATTCGTTGACTTCAATGTGGGTAAATATTATAAAGTTTATTAAATTTAATCTAAATTATATTAACGCAAACCAATCGGCCATATCTTTTTGGTCACGTGCATAACTTAACGCTGATTAACGCACTCTGGTTGCGTTAATTTTCAAACGAAGTCTATTTTACGAACCAGTCCAATGAAAATAATACTCAACGAAAATTCGTACTCAACGAAATGAACCAGTCGAATAAGCCCATTGTGTCACGAGACAAACAAATTTGAGTCAGCTGGGATCGGGAGAGAGTGACCCGATTTTCTACTTCGAGGATCTGATGATAGGAAGTGTGTATATAATACTCTTTAATACTGCATTCATACGTAGATATGTTCTTCAGCATTCACAGTCAATATTATTTATAATTATAAATAAAGGTTTCGTTTAATTTCCCTATAATAATGATTAGGTCTCTAGTTCTAAGTTAGTGGCCTAGGCCTAGCTAGGCTAGGCCTACTCACCACACCTGGCCCTAGGTCTAGCCTAGGCCTAGTAGTACTAAGAAGGGGATAGCTATGGCCCATAGACACCAAAAATGGTAGGAAGATAGGCAGTTGTCAGTTAGCATCAAATACTTACGCAGTCAGGTAAGTACAATGAATATTTAATGGGTTCCCTGATGCGTAACTAAAAATTGATCAGTGACGGTAAGCCAGCCTAAGCCTACTAGCTAGGCTAGGCCCAGGCCTAGTATTATTTATTTATTTTTTTTAGTTTGAGTAATAAAATGTTTGTGTACATAATTCGGGTGCTGAAATTAAACGTACATTGAAACTCAAATTGTTTGTCGCTTTTGTTTATGCACCCATATTGTCAAAAAACGCTCCCTGAAAAACAGCTTAAAATGCTCAGATCTTCGGAGCGCCAGAGGCTTCGCCCTACCTCCATTAAAAAACTGTGCAAGACTCTGCAGAGAGAATAGAAGGTGTCTGCAGAGAGGATAGAAGGGGACTGCAGAGAATCGAGGGTGCTGTTAGAAAAGAAACTGTTTTGAGAATTGGATCGAAAATTGCTTTTAGATTTTGATTATCGTTTCTTAATCTTTATTTTCCACAGGATTTGTGGTTGCATCAGAGATAATTCCTGGTGCCTTGCAGGTTGTAGGATTACATGGATTCCAACTATGGTTACTACATTCATGGAATGCTGGGGCATACATCAATAATTGCTGATAACTGCTCCGATGATGCTGTCCAGTGGTTGTGGCACACTTTCCATGAGTGTGTACGTAACAATATCCAGTATGCTGGGTTCGTTCTTGGGTTACTCTCAATATGCTGTTGGGTGGTTGTGTTTTTACCGTAAGTATGGACATACTATTTTAGTACTTACTAATACTTATTATCTCAATTTGGTCTCTTCATATAGATTGAGCCTGTGTGAGTGATATACAGTATTTCATTTCTAAAATTATGATTTTTGGCCTAATTTGACTTGTAAATTTTTTGTGCATTAAAACCTGTTATTTTTTTTTTTTTTTTTTTTGCAGCCAATTTTATGAATCGTACAAAAATGGCAAAATGGATGAAGGTGTGTCTATAGCATTTCTTATTCTCTGGCTTCTAGGTGATACAACAAATCTCATTGGATGTCTACTTGCAGATCAGCTTACAACACAGGTATATTTAATGTTATTACTCTGATTGTAAGCATGTCGTTAATGTAGGTAGTGTGTAAGGTACAAATGGGTTTCTATAATTATGTCAGTAAATTGAGTTTTGAGTAAAGATAAGTTGCCATAAATTTGCACTGCTACAGTGTTTTTTTTATGATACCATTACACTGGGTAGGTGTTCCCAACGCAACCGAAGGGCTCCGTGATTGTTTAATTCTTTCCAGGGCTGAAACTTGCTAATTAAGTCGTTGTGTATTAACACATGGTTTTATGGTGGTATAAAAGATCATTGAAAAGAAGGTCATTGAAGCTGTTATGTTTGCTCTCCAGCAGTCCTTGGCTTGGTCTAATTTGCCTAAATAGTTAAAAGCAAGGTCACCCTAGCAGGACTGCCTCAGTACTGTTAAAATATTGTTGAAATAAATCAGTTTAATAAATTTTATTATCAATAGTGATAATACTAATAATAATACTGATAATATGAAGCCAGAGGCTGTTGTTACACCAAGCTTTTAATCATGCTCTAATTCTGATGGGATGTTATTGTTCTAATCCATCATACAATAACATCCAATCAGAATTAAGAATTGGTTTAAGACTGGTGTAATAATAGCCACTACCTAATATAAAATGATAAAACTGTATTTTTTTTTTATACTGACTTAGGTTGGAACTGCATACTACTATATCTTTATGGACTTCCTCATTATATCCCAGTATTCTTACTATTTCTTCAAAAATAGAAAACTCAGAAATCGTAAGTAAATTGTTAAATTTACTTCATATTCCAATCCATCAATCAAATATTGTCATTCATTCAGTTTATTGATTTGTAGCTTGGTGGTTTATTGATTTGTAGCTTGGTGGTTTATTAAATTGTAGCTTGGTGGTTTATTGATTTGTAGCTTGGTGGTTTATTGATTTGTAACTTTGGTGGTTAAGATAGTTGCCTTCCAATCCTGGGTCCTTTGTTCATTTCCTTTCAATGTTGCAGGATTTTTTCTCAACTAAAAACAGTTCCACTAGACATAATGTAGAACCTTGTATGTTTTTCTTGTGAAAGAGATTGCCACCTATCAGTATGAAAGTAATTATGTGCTACGACAAATATCAATCTTTGGCCGATGTGCCAAAATAGTGAATAAACATAAAATATAATAAAATAAATTTATTGTAAATCAAATTTAATTTTTACTAAACCAAAATAAAATTATACGCACTTGCGACGTTAAAAATAAATTTAGTTTCTAATTCCTTTTGCATTTTATTCCATTTATATGATTGGTAGAACTAAGTCTTATTGGATTTTGTTTTTATATTTTTAGGATCATCTAATTATTACTCGCCAGTAAATTCACAATCAGGGCAAGTTGTCTTCTGCATTGCTATGGTAATGTGGTTTTCATCAATATTCACCTCTTTACCGTTACAAATGGAACCAGCGCCCACAATCGGAAGACTACCAGGAAGAACATTACTTGCTCATTCAGAATGCAAAGTGTACCTGTATGACGATACCTGCCTATTTTTTGTAAGATAAATTATTTCACTTCTTTTGTGGCTAAAGTTTAAATGAAATTGAAGAGAGTGGAGTAGTAACTTGGTATTGGGCGGTGGATTAATTTTAACCAGGGTGAAAGGTACTGCTTGGTCAAATGATACTGCAGTTTGCACTTGATGTAGTAAGTTTTCACACATACATGATCAGTCTAATTGTGGATAAATTCTGAAAAACGTTCAGCAGTGACTATACTGTAACCCCTGTCCAGATTATAAATTTTATTTTACAAAAAACATGTGGCATGACTAAATATGGTCATGATGACATCACATTATGAACATATATAGGTACATCGTGACTACATATGGGCATGCAACAGAGAGACAGAGCTTAAGACTTTTAATCAGGCCATTCTTCAAAAATACAAAATTTTAGCTGTCAATTATACAATCTGCATTGCTACAATGACGGCCAGATGCTGTACTGTACATTCTGTAATTGGAGTGTGATGTTTGATAAGCAGTATGGCTGAGGAGGGGGGCTAGCTAGGGAGGGAGCAGTCTAAACCCCCAAGTATGCTCCGCCACTTGACCCACTGTTCCACCTTGCTGCCACCAGACCCTCACCATGGATGGATGGTTTTTTTTTTTTTGGTGTAAACACCAAGGATAATCCACGGAAGTCTAAAGAAGACTTTGTTTCCAGTGGAGTCCTTCTGATGGTAATTGGGCATTACACCGGGAGACAATCCCCTACTCTTTTCCGAAGAGTGTACTGCATTCTTTAACGTGCACACAGGCTATAAAGCACATGGGACCAATGGCTAAAATGTCTCATTTGAAAGATGGTGTGCTATCGTAACTTGCTTTTCAGCCCTCCAGCTGAAACACAAGGAAAGCAGCGATGGGAATTGAACCGGGGACCTATAGATCTCCACGGTTCAGCGCACACACAGTGGCTACCACCAGTTTAGCCGACTGAACTATTACTGTTCCTTAATGCCCAGCAGCTGCGCAGCCCAAGATCCAGGTAAGCTTTTGGCTGCCCTGTTGCTAAGTAACTGTTTAATGGTAGGTTTTAGAGCAAATTTGGATAAATTTTTTTAAAAGCTAAACTTTTATAATATTTTATTATTTGTACAGTCCAACAAAGATATAATCGGGTATGCGTGCGGTGTATTGTCAAGTATATTCTACCTGACTTCAAGAACGCCCCAAATATATATGAACGTAAGTACTAAAATTTATTTGGCATTGTGCCATATCTAGACTTTTAGGAGGTTAATCCAAGCCCATCCGATTACCATTTAGTTGCTCTAACAATTGAGCTGTGATGCCAAGCTTGTATATTCCTTGGATTTTCTCTTGGGATACCATTATTTTTGTTACAGTATTTGCAACCTTACCTTGTAACGAATACGTCATCTTCATAATTGTAATTCATGCCTAAAACATTCTTGACAATAAATATGTAAACTGAATATGATCGTTATTCATGTAATAAGCATGGGTGGCCTATGTTGTGACAGATAAAAATTTGATGACGTAACCATATTCGTTATCGATTTTTATAAGCTTGCAAAACCTCCCTATTGCCTAATATGTAAATACTAGATAAAAATTAGACTCTGTAACAAAACATCTCCATCAGTGTTAAATGTACTCCTGTATATATAATGCTACCAAACTGAATAAATACACAAATATAGATGATAGTTTGATTTGTTTGATTTCAGAAACTTCTAATACTAATGTAACTATAATTGGAATGTTCTCCAAAACTGTAAGGAAATTGTTTACATTAAAGGCATTTTTTATATGATTGAGAACTTTATGTGGCATATCAGCTAAAATTTACAAGTTGTTTTAGTGTTGTAGAAGAATTGATGTAGAATCTTACTGTAAAACTTTACTGTTCAGCCCTTTATCTTATTTTATTAAAAACTTTCTTCAACAATATTTTTGTATATGAAGATATTCTGGTAATAAGTATTATATTGTAACACATTTTTTACATTGATATTTTGTTTAATTTTGGATGTTTATTTCTAATGTACAGTAAAGCAATTGAGGCTTGTAGCTAAATGCGCTTAATCAAGATAATTGAACTATTATTATTATTAAAATATATGTATTTATGCTTAATAAAATCATTAATAATTTTTTTAATGGTTATCAGTATAAACGGAAATCAGTTGAGGGAATTTCTAGAGTGATGTTTTTAATAGCGATCATGGCAAACCTGCTGTATGGCACTTCGGTCCTGTTCGAAGTCCAAGGAGACACCGCCGTCTTTATGATTAGACATTTACCATGGCTTGTTGGAAGCTTGGGAACACTGGTATTTGATTTAACTGTATCCTTTTACTCTATGAGTGTTGTTGATAGGTTTTTAAATCTTTATTACACAGATTTATATTGGCTGAAAGCTGACTGAAATAAATAAATAAATAATTATATAATATACCATTTAAAAAAAATCTCAAATAAGATGGTAGCCAACAATGGGAACTCTTCTCAGTACCAATAAGACTGCTGTTGCGTTTCATATTATTTCCCCAGTTAGTGCATCAACCATGAGTGAATCCTGGTTAATTGATCACCTGGACATATTATGGTACCATCACTTATGGATGAAGATGCTCAATACCATTATTTCTGGCTGTAGAATTCAGTGTGTACAGGCTTTTTTAATATGCCTTAATTTTGAAACACAATTTGAAGGATGGGAGGTGGACACTCAACGCATGGTGCTTCCCCCATCTTTTAGACCAAGAAGTTAGCCATAGTGGCCCTTCCACCCACCCCCCCCCCCTGATTATTTTTCCATGGGTCTGCCCCTAAAACACAAACTGTACGGATTATCTAAATATATAAACAGCATAGACTCAAAATCAGTGTTTGCAGAAATATATTTTTAACAGGTAATATGTCTTGCAGTACTTTTCTTGACAAACGTGTCAGGTCGTAATTCAGTTCCGTTTCTACAAGGTAGAAACCAGGAGTCTACCTCTGCTGTCAGATGATACTGATCCTCTACCAAATGGTCACTTCAATGAGAGTATCAACTCGGATATCATTTGAAAAAAAACATAAGCTTGAGTAACCAGGGAAAAGGGTTGTTGTTAATCTCTCTCACCCTGTCTAGACTTGTGTGACAAAGACTTGTGATTTGCCCATATGATAGTGATGGGACATCATCATGTCCATATATAGACAAATCACACATATTTGTCACTTTATTGTGTTAACATATACACGTTGACATATCTTTACACATTAAGTAAAAGAGTTTATGTTAAATTCATGTTAATTAAAATATTAATTAAATAAATGTTAATTTTTCTTATAGCCAGTATTCATAATTTCCATATTTTATGTGGCAAGCCCATATTTGGGCATGATGATTTAATATCCAAGGCATCCCATATATTGAAAAGATGATGTCATATCAAATCCATACTAACATTGAGCTTCGATTAATTTTGCTTGCAAATTGTAGCCACGTTGACATCAATAATGCTCCTTGTTTAAGGTTATTTGATATGCACATTTGTAATACTAGATCTTGAGAAATGGGCTTTAATCATTATTTTGGACCAAAACAAATACATATTTTCTTGTTATTTCAATCTATGTTCCTGTGCAATTTTTATCTGTAGGTGTGTTTAATAAACTATTAAATTAATTAAATTAATAGACTTCAACTTCAATATATGTAATTTATTCATAGATATATAAAAATTCAAGAGTTTAACCCCAACCTTTACCATCTCATGTGATCGCAACATGTAATCAAATAACATTACTTATGTAATGACCTCATCCAATTACTGCATACAATAATCTCATGTCATCATGCAATAATCTCATGTCATCATGCAATAATCTCATGTCATCATGCAATAATCTCATGTCATCACCTTAAGCTCTATTCACACTATTAAGCAATTAGTATAACGGAAAATTATTATATGAAGGTTAGATTTAATGCATGAAAAACTTACCTGAAGGCCTGCAAATTTTATGTGACAAATCTGTGGGATGTGCCAATATATGGGCATGATAATGTCATATTAAACCCAAATATGGGCATGTAGCATTTTTTTTTTACAAAAAATTTGATAGTCTGGACATGGCTTTATAATATCACCTTACATTCATATCTTCTGACATATTCTCATCAGATAAACATTCTTATTAATCCTATTATAAATCACCTTAAATTTAAAGCGATATTAAATACTGTAATTATATCAACTAAGGTCTAGTATTAAAACTATTGGGAATGGGAATACTGTAAATTGATGATTAATTATAAGCTAACTATAAATGTATAGAATGCAACATTTAATGTGTAAACATCTTATTAATAATATAAGTGATAATAAGACAAGCATGCTTTGAAAATAATGTTAGATACTCAACAGGGTTTTAGCTCGGAGAGTTTCAGAATAATGGTCGTACAGGGTAGGTTTTTTTCAACCCGTCTATAAAAAGTCTGATGATTTTTTTTTCAACAGTTACTACTATTTATACTATTTATAAGCAAGCCAAAGGTGTGAATGTCCAGTAGTGTAGTGGCACTGTTAAGATAGGTGCTAATTCTAACATAAAAATTATTTAAGTGTTTATATGGCGATAACTTAATGTATTTCGTATTTGGCTTATGTTTTCTAATACAATTTTTAACTTGCACATATTGTTTGAATGCACACATATTTTAGAGTATTTGCTCCTTTTACTGTATCAGGCGATCTCTTAAGTTCATTATTACTTAGTGAAACAAGTTCTTTTTAATATTTTTGTAATTAATAAAGTGATATCAGTATTTTTTTTTAAAATAATTATATATTCAATGTATATTTATTTTATTGTTTAATATCAATTTATTGTATATTTTTTGATTATATATATCAATTTGATTGTATTTTAAAGATGATAAAATGAAGAAAATTGATATTAAATGACAGTTTATTTGTTTTATATTCTTCCCATGAAAATAATATATTGGTATTCAACAAGTCTAGTATACGCAGAATTCAGTAAAGCCTGTTAATACTACCACGATACTGTAGTTAAGAATTACCAGGATTGTATTTAAAGCCAGACTGCAGCAGTAAAAAATATCTTTCAGAAAGAAAAATTATCTCTTTTAGAAATGAAATTTCTCAGACAGTGTGCTAGAAAAGTAAATTTATACAACATATAATTTCTTTCCTCTTAGATCCTAGCTTTAAATTTACTAAATGGTAACCAGGGTCTTTTAATTTGAATACTTCTAATTTGTGTGTCTAAAAGGTGTGTTTTAATGTTATTGTTTTATTTTAGCTATTATAGGAATATTATAAATTAAATAATATTTAAAATTATTATACTGTAATTATAATTATCATTTTATTATTGCCATTATTTTATCACCGTAATCAAATATCATTAGAAAATATGAAATCGTTCTTGTCAGACCTTGTGTAAATATTGTATCCATCTGATTTTTTACAGTACAAATAAATTTTATCTTTTACTGTATCACTTGTTTGCATTTTGTGTACTCTTAAGGCCTGTTTACACTTTAACGATAACATAAAAATGTTAAAAAGCGATTGTTCATATAGAAAACAAAAGAAATAAGAGAGGTTTTTACACTAGGACGATTCTATAACGATTTATCATGTATGCAATAACAAAATATTTTAACAAATCAAATCAGATGGCGTCATAATAATGGACAAACGATAAAATCGTTGCTACTACGACGATTTTAATGTTTTCCCATGATTATGACGTCATCTGATTTGATTTGTCAAAATATGTTGTTATCGCATAACTGATAAATCGTTATCGAATCGTTCTAGTGTAAAAACTTATCTTATTTCTTTTATTTTCTATATGAACAATCGCTTTTTAGCTTTTTTATCGTTATCGGTATCGTTGAAGTATAAACAGGCCTTTAAGCCGGGCATTCACTGCGTCGTACGATGGTCGTAAGACGAATCCAACTCTGTCGTCTGTGAGCAATAGACGACGTTACGCTGTCTACTGATTGTCGGGTGTCAGTCTGAACTGATCGTTATTAAAAACGATCCTTTGCGCGCGCGTCATCGTGTTACGTTTTTTATAGACACCGTCGTGCGCAGTGAGTGCCCGGCTTTAACAGTGGCTACGTATCTAGGGGTCTTGATAGGCCACTGTTAATTAACAAGAAGTTTATATATTAATTAATTTGACTTTTGGATACTTAAGAATTAGAGAATTGTGCGAACGAATGCCAACAAGCGAGATGACTGTACAAAATGACTCATTTTAATTTGCTGGGATTGCCTTCACTATCCGACTATATATCAACATAAATAACGAAAACATGCCATAAATGTGTTTAAATTTATTCACTGCATTCACTTTCAACATCTTCAAGTTCTTTAAGAAATTTTTCAATGTTTATTTCTTTAGTTTTATCTTTATTATCCGACGACTTTTTGCATTTGATGGAATCTCCGAACTCCTTTAACCATTTCGCATGGTTCTTGATGAGAGTTTTTGACTTTCCGCTAAACTTTATAATTCTTGATAACTCCATGTCTGAGCTAGTCCTCATTAGAGATCGTATCCGAAATGATACGAACACAATGAGGCACACGATGAATATTATTACCAAAATCATTACTGTTTCAAGCACTCGATGTTCACGTCTGATATGTTTAAAGTTGGACAAATGATGCTTCAAAAACCAATCCCGTGTTTCATTATTCGCAGTAGGTAATGTGTCGGTATTGTTTTGAAGATTTTCTGCTGCATTATCTATTAGAAACAACGAAAATAGAAAAAAAAAAATCAATAGTTTATGTTACGGTTGTCAAACATGAATGATATTTACTTAAAAAAAGATTTTCTAGATTCTTTGAAGAAAAGCTGTACGTTAGATTATCAACCATTTTAATTTATTTAATGTATCGTCTTTATATTTTATAGTCTAAAATCATTTGCAATTTAACTGCAAACAAGGCCTACAATGATAATTGTCATTAATCTTACCACAAGGCGACATCATACAGTTGACAGTTTTTGTGGGGTTTCCTTTGCACAAGTCCGACTTTATATAAAGTAACTCTATGTATAGTTTACATTCTCGGGCGCTTACTTTAATACCATTTCCACAAGTAACCGAGCATGATTGCCAATTGCCCCATTCCGACCATTCATAAGCAGACGAAGTTGAGTCAGGAAATTCTGTAAATTATTTAATTTCATGAAATTTCATTTTTATCAAAAAGTAGGCCCAGTGCAAACTTTTGTTTTTTGGCAGCTGGATAATAGAAAACTACAATAATCCTCACCAACCCAATAGTTCATTTTATTAAGGGTACCATGGACTATCCTCAACCGTTTTAGCTTTGATATTGGTCCATGGCAAGGCGAGATGAGTGCATTTAGAGTTGAAGACAATAAAGCAAGCGCTTGTACGAGCCAGAAAGAATAGGAAATAATAGTATTGCATTGTAGATAAGCTATGAATTTGATGTCTTCAAGAATGCGCTCGAAATTGCAGTAGGAATATTTCTCGGACTTGAACATACAACCTTTTGCATCCATTATTATGATTCAACAATTAGGACTTTTTCTTATTTAGGTTTGGATAAAATTAAAGAAGCCTGCATTTGAGAAGTACAGTAAATACAACGTGACTAACCTTTTGGTCGAATCGTGTCATACAGTATGTTAGTAACCCCAGAAGGATTAGTAGGACCTATGGCAGGCTTAATGGTATTCCAATCCGTATTTTTGTGCTCTTTCTTCTGTGTTCTATACCAATCCTCATAGGTTACCATAATCTTAGGAGCATTATCTCCATGTGTAACTATTTCGTCAGTTTTTAGAATAGTTTTGTTAATTTTAACTGGGGTTGGGGTTATTCTTGTCCTAGTAAGTACTTCATTTGTCTCAGTCGTAATTGGTAATAACGTTTCTGAAAAAATATTTTGATTTTTATCAATTAATTTTATTCATTGAACGAATGACCAATTGACATTTTGAAAATCTTTTGGTAGATAAGTTATGTCACGTATTATTATTTAATTCTAATGTTATTAGTAGTCCTATAGTTTTTTACGTGACAAATAATGTTATTTGTGAAATAATATAGAGGTTTTCATAATTACAGTATATTATTACCGAAAAAAAAAATGATAATGTAAATGTGAGCAGAAAATGTATTTAATAAATCAATTTATATTTTGAACCTAATTAGTTTAAAGTGCCTCTGCCACCTATTCTGACAATTTCTATAAACTACAGCGTATTTATATTTATAAATATATTATAAACACAAGTGTTGGTCATAAATTATGAATAAAATTGATTTTGTACTAAAAAAATGAGTTTGAAGTGTCATTTTCGTAAGACCTTAGAAACAACAAGGTCACTCAATGACGTCATTGGTGACCGACAAAATTCATCCAAGCGCGAAATCAAAACAAACACTGTGACAGCCTAGCGGAGGAAGAAAAAAGCGAGCATGTTGATAGACGGAGAATATTTCAACTCATCCTCATCGTATGAAGAAACAACAGATGAGGAAGACAATGACGTTGGCTGTTGTCCATTCCTATATATATGTCTTGGTATGAAAAAGAAAGAAATACAGAAGATGGTAATAATATTACGAATCCGAACTTAGAGTAGGCCTAGGCTAGTTGGTGTGAGAGAGAGAGCGAGCCTGTCATCGTATCGATAGATTGTTTCCGTTACTATCTGCTTCATGGTTGTGCAATAATACCAAAAGTAGGAATGAATCACGTATATTATTATTATTAATGATTATTACTTTAAAATGGCATAGGGCCTAAGCCATAATTTTAGAGAGCTTTGATAAATACGGTGTATGTCAGAAAGAAAGCACATAGCTACCACCACATCCACAAACTTTTTCTAGGCCCCAAAATGGGCAGCGGACTGGGCTTGAATTGGTGTGCACCTGATCTATAAATGGGCGTTTCAGTCCATGCTTCCTGTTTATTTAGAGATAATTACAGACGTGTTTGTTGAGAGACAAGTGCGTAAGTCAAAAGTAGTAAATAGGGCAATATATTATTAAAAAGAATCAAAAAAATCAAAAGAAGTCAAAAAAAAAAAAAAAAAAAAAAAAA